TTTTCTTTGGGGAACTGCTCTTTCTAATATTTGAGTGGCCTGACCCGACTCCGAGCTCGAGAGTCAGTCAGGTCCATCAGCGTAAACTGCAAATGGTTCAGAGAGCACATTAGATCCAAATTGGGCCAATGATACCTAAGGAGATCTTGCCAGGGCTTATAAGAAAAAAGTTTCCTTTCTCTTCTACAGAAGCTATCAGAGGAGACAGACTCTTTCCTCTAGGATCTGGGTGTGGATATAAGGTCGGAAAGAGCTGCAACCTTTTTTGCTACCAGGGGCTCAGTCTAGGACATTAACCTCTGGATCACACCATACCTGAAGTCAGTTGCAATAAGAGGAGCTAATCAATAAATTTCCTTACTCATGTCAGCCCACATGGCTTCATGCACTGTTACCTGCAACTAAGAGAGAATTTGAGGTGGTTCTTAAAGCTGAGATTCGCTCTGTCTACCATGGACGGCACTGACGGTGCCAAGTACGATGCCACATGGGATACATCCTTTTAACTCCTCTAATTCTCATGCTGGATCCTTTTGCCACCTTAAAATTTAGTCCATTTTACTTGCTTTAAAACTATAAACATTTTGGGGCGGGGGGAATTTTAAAGCCAGGTAAGTTCCAGCAGAGAGTTGGTCTCAATAAATACTAGCCTTCGGAACTGGAGTGGTAATCTTGGCTTATGAGGGAAATGATGGTATAGAAGGATCAAATATTAGGATGTGGAGTGGAAAATATTCACAGTCAAACAGAGTAGAACTTGGAAAAGAACTGGGTTCTGGTCTGCATGCCTCTCTCTGTGAACTGATTTCTCCTCTCCTGGGTCTTGGTTTCTATACCTACAAAACAGGGGGGGTGGGACTAGATGACTTCTGGGGCCCCCTTCCTGCTCTGATACATATCATCACTCAGCAAACACACTCTGACTGTCTTACAAGTGCCAAGCCTTATGCTGTGTGCTAGGGGAGGATATAGTTCCTACCCGAAGGCATTTCTGGGAGGGAAGGCCACAGGAACGCAGGCACACACAGGCTATCTCCTTGCCTCACTCCACTGAGGACAGTGGTTTTGGGGGAAGTTTGACTCTTATTTCTGTCTTCCTGGGGGCAGAGCTTTTTCCATCGGCTCTTCTTTTACTGGTTCTGACACATATGGAACACAGGGTCAGGTATACGCAAAAAAAAAACCCACTGCAAATACCATCATGAGCTTTTAGCTGTCACGGGACATACTTCTGGCTGCCAAGGTTGCCTCCAGAAGTTTTTAAGTGATGAGAGCCTGATGCCATCTCTGTGTAAGAGCTGACTGCGGACAAGGTACAATTAGCAAGTTAGATGGTTAACTTTCAAATAGGCCTTTGCTTTTTCGTTCCTGATTCTATTTTTTTATAGTGTCACTGGAGCCAACAGATTAAAGGCTGAACATCCTTACACTACAGCCTGAGAGAAGGTATTAGAGTTTGAATACATCTCTAAGTAGTGGCCTCATCACAAGTTAGATATGGAAGCCTGTTTAAACATACTGCTACTACCCAGGCCTTTCCAATACATGTTTCCAAACAAACTCACAGAACTCCAGGATGTTAGAGTTAGAAAGTCCTAATGGTATCCATCCCGTACATTGCAAATGAGTTTCAACATGCCAATGACAGTCACTTGAGTAGCAGTGTTGAGAAAACAATCTGAGGCCAAGTCTGGCCTTAATGGGAAAGAGATTGCTTAGCAATGTCTGCCCTGGCCAGGGGAGCGGCAGCACCATGATAACACACAGTTACTTTTCCCCGTCTGAATCTAAGCCCTCACTTCACAGATGAGAATCCAAGGCCCAGAGAGGTTAAACCACTTTCCTAAGGCCACGTAGTAAGTTTAGGAAAGAAGAGAACTAGAACCCAGGCCTCTGTTCCCAGGTCTTCCTCAGATGAGCTCCCTGGGAGACTGCAAACCCAGAATCAGAGAAAACATGCAGGGAGCCAGATTTGCTCAGGTAAATCAACAACCCTTCCCCTGTGGCATCAGATTTCAGCTGGGCATGCAGGCAGAGAAGTGGTTAGCCATCTGAAGGATCCCAGCCCCTCTGTGCAAAATTAAGGAAATCATTCCAAGGCTACATTTCTATGGTACTTAACTTTCTGATTGGTGAGCCTCTGCCACCAGGAAGAAAAAGTATTGATTTCTGGATGTTCTAAGAATAAAGTTCACAATGAAAACTAAAGACACACTGAAAAACACTCTTGATTCTTGAAACCGTAAGTTATTTGTATTCCATTATCCCACCAATTTCTATTCCATAAGTCACTATTATCCAATGAAGTCATTTCTCACAAGAGATTACGGCTCAAAAATGGGGAGGAACTGAATGGTATTTCCTAGTATGGGTTTTTAATGGCCAGTTCCCAAGTCTGGAATATGAAACAGACTGTAGAATCAAACCAAAATGTTAAGCAGATGGGGGCTAGGAATGGGAGGGAACCCCAAATTAAAATGAAGATGGCTTCAAGACTGGCTTTTCTTGCTTGGTTTTGCAGCTTTCAAAGCAGCCAGCTGAGCTGTCTGACCAGATGAATGCTGAAATCCTAAAGGCATTATGTGTCCTTTATAAATCAGCTGTCCTACCCAGCTCCAGAGGTGCACCCAGAATGAGCCAGTGTGACAGTTATGTAGACTTAAGTTCTAGCAGATGATAAATGCTCTTAATTTAAAACTCTGTATTCTTCAATCCTGCGGAGAAATCAAGGAGTTAAAAGACCACTCAAACAGTGCATTTGTTACCCTCAAAGAAACTTCTCTCAGACCCACAAGGAATATATATTTCATTTGGATAAAGTCCTGTCAGACTTCCCTCCAGAGCCTCTGCAGTTATTTCTACCCAGAAAGATCAACAAGGTGCTCTGGGATAATTCTCACCAATTACAAGAGTGACAGGCTGTACTCAGAACTGGTCAGCCCTGTCGAAAGAAGATGTATGTGCTCGAGATGCCAGATTTCCCAGACAGCTGCCTGGCGTGTTCTGTGCACATTCCAGTACACTGGGATGAGGGATGGATCACCATCGCTGTGAGAAGTCAGCCTCTTCCCTCAAGGCCAGATGACATTCAAACACAGGACCGGGGGCCGAGCCCAGTGCTGTGCATCTGCAGGAGAGTGGAACAAATAGGGGACTGTGTAGAAATTTGGCAGAGTGTTCCTGAAAGGCAGCAGATGAATGCAGAAGCCTATAGCACCTAGAAGAGCTGATCAATGGGGAAATAGTTCCATTCTGATGCTCCCAGGAAGCAAAGAGATTTTCTTTAAAGCAAGGATAATCAGTTGGCACCTCCCACCACCACCAAACCCCATTCACCACATCTTCCTCCTCCTCTTCATGATATTGCAGAGCAAAAGAAATGAACAAGAACTAGACCTTCCCAGATGTGCTTGTCTGTCCATTTCAGTTAAGGGCTCTGAGCAGCGCCCAGCTGTTGCTTCCCATTCTCTCTGCCCAAAAGGCTGCCTTGCTCCATCAATTCCCTCCTGTACAAGTGAGTAATTTACTTTGAAAGCTCAGGCCAAACTGGCAGTTAAACTTGACCTTCTCTCTACACATCTGGGTCTATAGAAAATGAAAATCAGAATGTCTGGCATCCACAGCAAATGAAATACGAGGGCTTTCTCCAGGTAGACGCAGAATGATATGAGCTATTTTAGAACTGACTAGAGCTATTCCAAAGGAGAGTTTGCACTTGAGCAGGACACTCTCCCCCTTGACCTGTGGCTGTGTCCAGTATGGTGCCCCCAGAGCTAGGGATGCTACATGGGGCTCCTAACCCAGAAAAAAGTGGTCAATGTGCTCTGCATTGATTTACTGATGGTATTACAGAATGGTAGAACTAGACCAATAACCACATTTTACATAAGGAGAAAGGGAGGTTCCGAGATAGACCTGAGAGATGATTAAGAACATACAGAGCAAGTTCATGATAAGGCAGAGGATAGAACCCTGACCTCATAACCCTCATGCAAACACAGGATGGGAACAGAAGATAGAATTCATGAAGCAAAAACCCATATGAACACAGAATTTAAGGGAGAGGGGTCTAAGTTGGCTGTCAGGGTTTGAACCAGGGAGTTAGGAAAGGAGTTAGGGCTCTTGGTGTCCAAACAGTAAGCTCTACCAGAAAGATCAACCAGACCTTCCAGGGTGGTTTGCAACAATTACCAAGTGACAGGCTACACTCAAAATTGGTCAGCCATCGCAAAGAGCCCTCTATGCTCAAGACGCCACACTGTCCAGACGGCAGCCTGATACTGGGAAGAGAGGAGAACAATCAGCTTCAATAGTGAGCCTCTTCACGCATCCTGCCAACAATCAGTCAAATTTGACCCTGATGCACAAATTATCCACTTCCCATGGAACAAGGAAATCCCACAACAAACTCTTTCCACTGCGTGAAAGAGTTCAAGCAGGGATACATACGCTCACTGTCACCTACTGAGCCAAGGACTGAAAGGTTAGGAGTGATCCCACAGAACTTCTGCTCTCAGTCTATATGTACGGTGACATACAGCACATGCACACACATGCAGCCACGGGTGAGTTCGGAGGAAGCAGAAAAAACAACTGAGATACTAGTCCTTGCTGCAAGAAAAACCACACCTAATTAGACTGAACAAGTTCAGAGGGGTCACAGTACTCTGAGAAGGGACAAGGAAGGCATATAATATTCCATCTTCAGGGCACTGGGCACAAACAGTCTCTGGGAAATCTGGGAGATCCCTCCACCAGAACCCCCATTTCTAAACCCCCACAAAGTCAAAGGCAGCAGGCCCCTCAAGGACCAGGAACTCACACCCTTCCCCACCCCTAGGGCCTGAAGGTCTAAAGGGAACGTGATCTTTGCATCCTCCAAGGAACCCACAGGATATAGGAAAGAAATAAGGCTAGAAAGGAGGGAGGATGAACAAATGGGGAGAGAAGGGAGACCCAGATGTCTCTTTGGACAAATGGGAAAACAAAAAGGGACTTACCTGAGTAGGGAACACCAGGATCAGCAGGTAGGAGGAAAAGCAGAAAAGACCTGGACACCAAACAGAAGTCCCAGGATCTCCAGAAGGAATTATCCTGGGATACGGCATGCAGGCAGGATCCTCCGAAAGAGAGATGCTGGGAGGGGTGAAGGGATACCGACACACGGACAGAAAGGAGGATGGTAACCCACGGTAACTAACAGATCTCCAGGCTGGGCATCAGGAGTCCTGGTTTCTAGTTCTGGTTTTGTCTCTGATGCGCGTGGGGCCCCGGACAAGTCCCTGTCCTTCTCTAAGCCTCAATTTCCCATCCAAAAAAATGGCAAGAACAGAAGAGTCTCTGGCGCTGACTCTGAGAAGGCAGGGGAAGGTGAAGGAAGGAACCAAAAGCTGGAAGTAAATTTTGGGAGACAGTGTTCCCAACCCCATGACAACTGGGGAACTCACCTGTCCGGCCGCCGGGACCACCGCAGCCCCAGATCCCCCGGGGGTGCCGTCGGGCTGCCGTTCGCGGTACAGCGCCCAGAGCCCCACGTTGGGCAGAAGAACCAGGGCCGCCAGCACCAGCGCCACCGCCTGCAGAAGCCGCTTCTCCTTCCGCCTCATCGGGGCCAGTCAGCCCCGCCGCGTCCCGCCGGTCCCGCCACGCGGCCCCCAGCGCCGCCCGTCCCTCCGTCCGCCCGTCCGCCCGGCGGCGGCAGCAGCCCGGCGAGGAGATGCGGCCGCGGCGCCGGCCCCACTCCAACTCCGCGGCACTTCCGCCGCTCGCCAGCCGGGGAGCCGGGCTCGGCCACCGCGCCGCCGCCGCGGGGGAGTCGCCGCCGCCCCCGCCGCCCCGAGCTCCGGCAAGCCGCTCGCCGCGTGCGGCCTTCCCGCTGATCGTCGGCGGAGCGCTGTGTGCCGCCGGCCCCGGCCTCCCCGCGGGTCTTCCCGGGCCGCCTGGGCGCGGCGGGGTCCGAGTGCGGACCGCCTCCCCCTCTCGGGCCGCGATGGTGCGGCCCGCTCCTCCGCGGCTCTCCCACCCGCGGGAGCTTTGCGAAAGTCCCGGAGTTGGCGAGTTGGGCGCTAACCGGTGCGGGGTGGACACCGGCGCGTCCTCGCGCGCTGGGACGTGCCCGGGGCTCTCAGAGCCCCGCCGGGCAACCTCTGCTGCGGATTCCAGTGGACAGTCTGCCAGCTCCCCGGGGACATGCGGGTAGTGTTGGAGCCGGGCCGGACGCTCCGCGCCTGCAGTCCCGGAGCTGTGGCTTCCCACCCACCGCGGCTCGGCTCGAGGACCTGCGGACTTAACTGTGACTCCGGGGACTCTGTGTTCCCAGGCCACACCTGTGAAATGGGGCCACAGCCGTGTCCCACGCGCACTGTCCTGCCGGCGGACCCTCGTTTTCTTCCTGTCGGAGTTCCTGGCGTTAGGTGTGAACGCCTTGTGCAAACTGTGGAGTGCCGTGTCCGCCTGCCACTTGTCTGTTGCCCCTGCAAACAGCCGGGGAGGTGACCGGGCCTCTCTGCAGGACCTTTTCTCACGCAAGTCCAACCCCCTTGGAGTTGGAGTGCCCTCCAGTCTCACGTGCACTTGTAGGTCCTCAGCTCACGGAGCCCTTTCTTGAAACCTCTTGTCGGTCTGTGTCTCGTGCTGGCTCTTCAGCAAACCTTTAGCAAACGCCTATTGTGTAGCAGACACTGTGCCAGACACAGGGATGAAATGAGAACAGGCTCGAGCCCTGACGTCTCCGGGCTGAAACATTAAGTACATAATCGCATTAGATGGTGGAATGTGTCTGTAACCGGTGGGGAGGCCTCTGAGGAAGCCTGGCCCTCGGGCACTGAGAAGGGCCGAGGAGCTGGATGATGATGCCTGTGGTTCCTCAGTGCTCTTCACAGAATTGCTTCCTCTCTGATGCCCCGGGACCGCACGCCCGCTTGGTTGCCTTCCTCTTTTCCATCCCCAGTGCATCTTCTCAATTCTCTCCATCTCCAGCCCAGCCCGCTGCCTAGCAGCCCCCACCCTTGGACCAGCGCCCTGATGACTTCTGCTTCCCAGTTCTTCCAGCTCCAGGCTGAGGGATGGGGATTCTGTTTCCCGAAATCAAAGAGCATAGATCTTGACATCTGCTACAAACTTTCCAAGCTCCCATCACCTAGGCTCTAGAGACCACACTCCTCACTGTGACCTGCTTAGGGCTGATCAAACATTCTTTCCTCTGCCCTGACCAGCTGTTTTCCTTGACCAATGAAAGAAAGCCCTTTCCACTCAGAAAGCCCTCCTCTTCCCCATCTATGTCCATAGATATCTTGTACATCTTTCTATGCCTAGTTGAGTTGCCATCTCGCCATGAAGTCTTCCACAACTCCTCAGGAGGCTGCTCTCTTCCTTTGGATGTCTGTTACAGTAATGCTTACCTTTTATTGAATGCTGTGTCAGGCACCATGTTCAACTCTTGACATGCATTACCCCTTTTAATCTTCACAGTTTCCCTGTGAGATAAATGCTTTTCTTATCATCATTTGCAAATGAGATTCAGTGAAGAAAGCAGAAGCCAATATGATCCTGTTTTAACAAAGGTCAGATAATATCACACCTCTGCTCAAATCTCTTCAGTGGCTTCCCACCTCCCACTAGATTTCTATAAAGAACGACAAGATCCTACAAGACTATATATTAATAGCCCTCACCTTTTACTCTCTTCATTATGCCCCAATCCATTGGCCTTGCCATTCATCAGAGAACACCAGGCACATTCCCACCTCTGGGCCTTTGCACTTGCCATTACCTCTGCTTAGACTGCCCACTCTTCAATCTCTAGATCCTTACCCTATGCCTTTTAAAACTATTTGTTTTATTTTGGTAACATATACATAATATAAACTTTACCATTTTAACAATTCAGTGGCATTAAGTACATTCACATTGTTGTGCAACCATCACTACTATCCATCTCCAGAAGTTTTCATCTTCCTAAACTGAATCTCTGAACCCATTAAACACTAACTCCCCATTCCCCCTCCTCTCAAACCCTGGTAACCATCATTCTACTTTCTGTCTTTATGAATTTGACCATTCTAGGTACTTCATATAAGTGGAATCATATTTATCCTTTTCTGTTTGAATTATTTCACTTAGCATAATGGTTTCAAAAATCATCCATGTTGTAGCGTGTATCAGAATTATTTTCATCCCTTTTTTTTTTTTTTTTTATCCTCACCCGAGGACATTTTTCCATTTTTTTTTTTTTTTTTTACTCAGATAGAGCAGGAAGGAGAGAGAGGAAGAGAGAGAAACATCGATGTGAAAGGGACACATCGAGTGGCCACCACCCACACGACCCAACCAGGGCCGGGGACAAACTGCAGCCAAGGTACATGCCCTTAGCGGGAACCGAACCCGGGTCTCTGTGGACCGCAGGCTGACGCTCTAACCGCTGAGCCAAACCGGCCAGGGCTATTTTCATCCCTTTTTAAGACTGAATAATATTCCATTGTAAGTATATACCAAATGAATGTTGACTGTTCATCCATCCATAGATATTTGGATTATTTACACCTTTTGGCTATTGTGAATAATGCTGCTATTAATAGTGCCCCCCCTTTTAAATACTACAGTTGATATACAGTATTTATGTAATTGAATTAATATCCTCTCTCTTTGACAAAAGTGGAAGTTCCTGGAGGGAAATATAATGTTGCAGGAGCACAATGCTAGACTCAGAGTATCTAGGGTGATCCTTTCACAAACATGAGGCTCGCTCTGCTCCTGGGAAATCACCTGTGACTTCCCTTCATGTTACAATGATCTGTGAGAATCCTTGCCACGGCTCATGAGGTCCTACATGAGCTGGCCTGACTTCCACATTTTGCTTTCTCTTCTTCCCTTTTACTTACATTGGTCTTCTTGCTATATTCCTCAGATGAACCAAGTTGAAGATGATCTCCAGGGCCTTCACAGATTTGCTGTGCCATTGTCTAGAAATCTCTTCCTAAACCTTTGCCTGCTTCTCTCCCTCCCATTTCTCAGGGACCAAATCAAATGTCCTGCTTCGGAGAGTTCTGCCCTGAACAAGTGATCTAAAATGTCAAAGAGCACACCCATCACCACCATTTGCTTGACTTTCCTTCAGAACAGGTGTCATTTGGGGTTGTCTCTTATAGATTGTGAGGTCCAAGCAAGGAGAAACTTTGGTTTTGTTTGTTTGTTTTTGTCCTGTACAGTATTGTCCTGCCTCTATCACAGACTTCCTCCCCCCCCCCCCCCCCCAAATCAGAAAACCCATGTTCCTTCCAGGCAGAGGAAATTGCAAACTGGGTGATCCTTCTCCCTGGGCCAAAGCAGCAGGAGCTAAGCCAGGGCATACAGATTTCAGCTCATACTCCTGCTCGTCTACAAGAACCTGTGCTGTGGCCCCTCCCAGGCCTGGAACACAATAGTTGCTCAATAATTAATGGTCGAGTGAAGTACAGCAGCTGAGATCATGTATACAAAAACCTTCAATGTCTGTCCTCTCCATCTCCCGAGAGGATTCAAAATTGGATTTGAGCTTTTTATTGTGTCTTACTGAGTGACTTGTTAATCAAAGCTACATACCGGCCTAGTGAGCCCTCAATGGAAACCCATTAACCCAGCTTTAATCCTGCACTCTGATCTCCTACAATGTGAAATGCAAGGGAGAGGAAACTCCTGGGACTTTATTCCACTCACTGAGACAATACCATTTGAGACTTGTGGGCAACCCATTAGCTCTGGCTGTTTTCCTGGGAAAACTGATCTGGTCATTGACTGAATTAAACAAGAAATGTTACTTTCAGACTGAGCTGTCCTAGGTCTATTGTGGGCATTAAATGAGATAATGCACATATAGGGCATACTGTAGATGCTGGCCTAGTGAAACCAGTAACTGTGGACGAAATAAAAGTCAAGCACCGATAGGAATGCTGAGGAGAGGTAAGTAGGGTTTCAGCTGCATGGAAAAAACCTCTGGCTGTGGCCTGGGCCTCTCCAACCTCATCTCCTATCACCCTCCTGTCACTAGCTCCAAACCAGCAACTGGCACTTCCTGGTCCTTGAAGGCATTGTGCGCTGTCCAGCCTCAAGGCCCTTGAATGAACCCTTATCTCAGCCGGGAATGTTGCTTCTCAAGATCTCCCCCTATTGTTGCTCCCTCTTAGCCTTCAAATATCAGTTTAAATGTCACCTCCTCACAGAGACCCTCCCTGACCATCCACCTGAAGGG